ATAATCTATGACACCCATATAAGTAAGAAAATGTGGACGAATTTTGCCATGGTCATGTGTCTTGGAAATTCCAGGATTAGAGTGAAAGCATTTAACCCGTGAAATAAAAAGTTCAACGTGCCAATAGTCACATAGACACAAAAGAAAGCAGTGGAATTAGAGTCTACTAATGTGTGTTAATCTAATATCTATTTCACGGGTTTAATGACGTCACTCTACCTTGACAAAAATGTATTACTCAAGAGAATGACACGTGGTCTGAATGATGCACTACATAAAAAAACGAGTGTTCTTAGACAAGACCATGAAGAGTTGAAGATCTTCTTGGCGTTAACAAGCAACAGCCTCACAGAACAGCGGATGGACGAAAGCTTCTTGCCGTCGTCAAAATCCAGCCGCGCTCAGTGTTGAGTGCGCCTCATAAGATGACGTCCAAGTGGATTGTACCAATAACCCCTTTTCTCACTTGGTAAACACTACTGTTTCATTTTCAATGACTAAAGAGTCCTCTGCACAGGCTTAGCCTCGCTTAAGACCTAGCAAATCATTCGCAAAAATCAGCTGTCAGTAAAAATGTGCAACTTGAACAATACCTGTCCAATGTTTTAATATCCAACGGACTTTTAATACAGTAGTATCTGGGAAAAGCTGACTTGTAAGCAAGCCAAGACCGTTTTCTCAAGGTTGCGTGCGCATCGTAAAGGCACTTGACGGGCCACGATACCAGAACACGAGCTTTATGATGAGTATATATTATTTTGCATTGCTATGAAAAATCTTTGATAAGAATTCATAGAATTGATTACTTTCCTCTTTAAATATAAAACTGGTTTCTCAATTTACTGGATTTACGTTTTTCAGTTTTGTGGCCCGTCAAATTGGATGCGCACGCAACCTTGAGAAAACGGTCTAGGCCTTTTCTGAGTTCAAACAGGATGCAATATGGTCTAGCTAGATTCGGTGTCAAACATCACCATATAAGGCAAGATTAACACAGAACATGATGTTTGTACTCAAGCTTAGCCACAATGCAACATGTTCTCTATCTCAGAAAAGGTCTATGTGGACTTCAAAAGCAGCGATATTCATCTAATGCGAAACTGATGCATTGTACGTTTTATTTTGATAACACAAGTAGGTCTTGAAAAATATGGATAGGCTGAACAATGGCAATGGAATGGATGACAAAACAAGGATAACTGCATGGGATCAGAAATACACAGGTATAGTTAAGATTAATATGAATAATACAGAAGTACAAAGCTAACACAAAAGATGAAATAAATGCTAAAAATGTGCCAAAAGTTGTTTTGACGTAACCTCGTTAATCCATCACGAATTTTTATTCCAAAACTTTAATTTCAAAAAATTTTAGACTTTTTTTGGAAATTGAAATGACAAGTCCGTTAATACAGTGCAAACTGAAAACCGTGGACACCTAGAAATATTTCAAGAATGTTTCTTATATAAACCAATCAGAAGCGTTAATGTTATCTTTCCGTTATCTTGTGGTTAGAAAGTCAATTCTAATTGGCCAAAGAGCAATAGAAAATTTCTGGATTATTTCTACGAGTACGAGTTGCAGTTTATGATCTTTATTTATTGGCTTAAAAATCAGATCCCGATTTTTTTTAATAACTTAGAACCGGCCATCCATCTCATATGGAAGTCACTCTTTATGAATCTCCCCGTAACAGAAAGCAAAATTTATATATAAAAATAAAAATTAAAAATAAAATAAAATAAAATAAAATAAAATAAAATAAAATAAAACTTAATGGATTTATTTAATGAAAAGGGAGGCACTTCCAGTGCAAATTAATCCCCATAGCAACGCCTTAATGGCTAATATGTACATGCATAGATCAGTATTCTAGAATTAGCAGTACATTCCAACGCTCTTCATGATATTTCCTGGAACGCCAGTTCATAATATGACGATATTTCAACAAAGCTTACCGTAGTCAAATAGGGCTAGCACGTCGTGCTAACAAATCAAATCACTTGAAAAATAGTTTAGCAGTGCTTATCTTACAAACCTTACAGCGTGAATTCAATGAACATGCATGCAATCATTTATATGATGAGTGATCAGTGCTGATGGACATAACAATAAACAAATTTAGATAGAAAGATATAACTAGCTAAAAACTAGTGTGAGCTGCGTCGGTGTTTCTAATGAAACAGTAATGATGAAAAGGTAAATTATACACCGTGAAAAGGTGAAAAAACTTACTGACGTTTCGGACGCTAGTCCTTCGTCGGAGTAAAAGAGGATATAACTAGCTAAAAACTAGTGTGAGCTGCGTCCGGTGTTTCTAATGAAACAGTAATGATGAAAAAGTAAATTATACACCGTGAAAAGATGAAAAAACTTACTGACCTCTTTTACTCCGACGAAGGACTAGCGTCCGAAACGTCAGTAAGTTTTTTCATCTTTTCACGGTGTATAATTTACCTTTAAATTTAGATAGACTGAGCCGCACACGGACAGCTTCCGAAATAGGTTTTTCATTCCAATTCAATGTATGTCTAAGCTTCGGTGGATGTCATGATCACTATAAAGACATATCTCATTGGCAGACTGGCTAAGCTTTAAATAAATCTCTTAATAAATCCTGTTTAATCTTGAAAACATAGTTCTAACTAACCGTGACTCGAACTAGAGCGGAATTTGTTTGATTGGGAAAAGATAAGGCAAATCTGACCGTATCGTATTTTACGCTTATTGGATGAGTTTCTGGAAGACAATGGGAAGCCATTTCAATGTTATATATTCCCACTTATTCGATAACCAGTCTTAATAGAAGCCATTACAATGTTACAGCATGTCGTACCGTAAGTCAGTGTACTGTACGTTTCCCACTCATTGGATAACCATTCTTATGGGAAGCCATTCACTGCTAGGATATGGCGTACTGTTTATATAATTAGGTGCTGTAAGTCAGTACTGTGCGTTCCCCACTCATTCGATAATCATTGTAAAGTCATTTCAATCGTTACAACTGATTGGACCGTGTATGTGCTGTAAGTCAGTATCGTATATTTCCCGCTTATACTATAGCCATTTTATACCTAGCCTATCTTGTTCAGTTAGGCAAATGCCATCGAAAGGCTTGTGTCTGATGTAAGTAATATTTATAGTTCTAAGAATGTTCCTTATAAATGTATACTAATGTTGAACACCCAGAGGCCCGGTCAACTGAAAGTGGCATAACTCAGGCATCACGACTTCTAAAGGTAAATGAAATGATTTGATAGTAATTATGATAACAATAATCTTAATATATATCAGATCACAAAAATAATTCTAAAGGCCGGTTTAGACGGTACGATTTTCGTCTACAACTATCGTATACAACACGTTCGCGTCTGTCGTAGGCGAGTTGTAGGCTTGATTTACATGCTACGACTCGAGTTGTAGGATGGCGCGAGCGTGTTGTATACGATAGTAGTAGGCGAAAATCGTACCGTCTAAACCGGCCTTAAGACATATCAATCCTGGCTTCACACTAATCTAAACGCATCAAAGAGCCTTTTGCTTTGACCTAAAGCCTACTACTTTTCAGTAATCTCATAAAGGGTAATGACACTTTCCACTTTCCATAACCTTGACGTATATATTTTTTACAATTATAACATAGAACAGATACTTCTGAGTGTTCATAATAATTGACTGATGAATGTCAAGAAGAGTGAAAGCGATAAGGGCCAAAGAATTAGAACTGAGCGATAAGGAAGCACGGATTTGACTCTAATACTTGGAGGAACATACCGGATGTACCTCAATGAAACTCCCAAACACAGGAGAATATTTTTGGATCGTAAGTAATTTCTATATTATTTTATTATCAGCCATAGGTTCGCAGATGCATAGATAAACAGCGATAACGATAAATATTAGGAATAAATTCGCCTGGGATTCGATTTCATAACATCACTTGCTGAGCATGTAGAAACAGAGGCTTAGCAGATAAGTTTCTAATGAATTTTGACACGAAATCCCAGAATGATTTTTGGGGTTTAACTTGGAAATGAAATAATTATTGCTTTGGTAATATCGTATCAATATTTCTTTGTACTTTTGAACAGTTACTAGTAGACGTTCTTTCAGTAAATATTATGGTAGACGTTTTCTATAAGTTCTACTATATATCTCGAAGGATTGCAAACTTGCTTCGAAAATTTTCAAATGACGATTAAGATTGCTTTCTCGCTTTCATACACTGGATAGACAAAAAAATTGAAATGACCAAAAATATTCAGCTTAAATTTGATCCGGCGTTGTG